GCCATCGGGCCGCAGCTGGTGCGGCTGGTGTGGAGCGGGCTGGTGGACACGGCTGCCCTGGTCGTCGACCTTCGCTACAACCCCGGGAGCTACTCCACGGCTGTGCCACTTCTCTGCTCCTACTTCTTTGAGGCGGAGCCCCGCCAGCATCTCTACTCTATCTTTGACCGGGCCACCTCGAAGGTCACAGAGGTGTGGACGCTGCCCCAGGTGGCCGGCCAGCGCTACGGCTCCCACAAGGACCTCTACATCTTGATGAGCCACACCAGCGGCTCTGCGGCAGAGGCTTTCGCTCACACCATGCAGGACCTGCAGCGGGCCACGGTCATCGGGGAGCCCACTGCTGGAGGGGCACTCTCTGTGGGTATCTACCAGGTGGGCAGCAGCCCCTTATATGCCTCGATGCCCACCCAGATGGCCCTGAGCGCCACCACAGGTGAGGCCTGGGACCTGGCTGGTGTGGAACCAGACATCACCGTGCCCATGAGCGAGGCCCTTTCTACAGCCCAGGACATAGTGGCCCTGCGTGCCAAGGTGCCCACAGTGCTACAGACAGCTGGGAAACTGGTAGCTGATAACTATGCCTCTCCTGAGCTGGGGGCCAAGATGGCTGCCAAACTGAGCAGTCTGCAGAGCCGTTACTCAAGAGTGACCTCAGAAGGGGCCCTGGCTGAGATGCTGGGAGCTGACCTGCAGATGCTGTCTGGGGACCCACACCTGAAGACAGCCCATATCCCGGAGGATGCCAAGGACCGCATTCCTGGAATTGTGCCCATGCAGGTGAGATATAAGGGAGACAGTCTGGCCCAGTCCCAGGACTGAGTTGGCCAGTTGTCCGCATGTGCAGGACTGTGTATATATAGTGCAGGACAATGGCTTCAGGACTTGTTCTCAGGTTTAAGTTTATACCAGTTAAGTCTTTTCCTCTTTCTCATCCTGTTGTCCCACCCACTCTTCATGCCCATGGAGTCCCTGAACACCTCTGAAGCCCAAGAACTCGGTTTTAAAGCCCCTGGGATAGAAGACTTTTCACCCTTGACTGGGTTCTTATTGTCAGTGTTGGGGAAATAGGTCAATAAGTCCCCAGGTCTCCATGCTGTGACTTCCTCCTCTAGAAATGTAGAGTTTGTGCCTCAGAGCTGAAGCCTACAGCCTCACATAGACCCTGGAGTGGTCAGTGGGACCAGACACTCCCAGGCGCATTCCTTGATTTGGCACTAACAGCCCATCTCCTTCCCTCACACAGTGTGAAGTGCAGCATCTTGAAGGGCTTTGCTTGGTGAGCATGTAGTCTTGCACAAGGGCCAGCTAAACAGGAAATCCAGAGCAAGGCCAGTGTGGTCAAAATATTTAGAAGGCAGCAATGAAGTTTTGAGGAGCACTCAATAGGTGAAGTAGGTGAAGTGTGGCTGCTGAGTAGATAAGGGAAGTTCTCCATCCCTGGCTGAGGTAGCAGTGGGCTTCACCAAGTACCTCGCCCAAGCAGCTCTTATGACACCTCTCTACACTAGTCTCTCACCTGTAGCCACTGTGTAGTTACCAGTGGGCAGGGTAGCGTTTGTCCTGGGTTCCCTTGCAAGGAGGGCCTGAGACCAGGACTTGGGTGCAGGCAGTTTGGAAGACTGTTGCTGAAGCCGGTGTAAAGGAGCAGGGAGAGTGAGAGGGGAAGGGAGGCAAAGCCGACTGACAGGTGCATCATCGAGGTTGCACAAGTTTGGGGATGCCTCCTAGACCAGCCCCTCTGCAGGTGGGACTCAGCAGTTCCTACCCCCCTTGGCCAAGGGTAATCCTGTAGACATGAACTCTTGCATTCTTGGGTGGGGCATATTCGCCCACCTTGGAGAAGGCCTAAGCAGAGGGTGGAAAGACAGGAGTGTGCTGGAGGAAGGTGCCAGTGGGACCAGGTGTGGCTAAAATCAAAGGGACCTGAGGGGACCCAAAGCATCTGATACAGAATTGTCAACCCCATTTTACACAAAGGGAAACTGAGGGCCCTGGAGGGTTCTGAGGGTAGTAACCTGTGGCTAGAGAGCTGTGACTGAGGGCAGAGCAGGGCCTGGAGCCTGGTGTCCCTGTCAGTGTCAGCTCCTTGCCCTCAGTCCAGCTCACCAAGTCCTGCTGCCTTCCAATAGCCTTGGAGAGAGAAAAAGAGGTGCAACCATGTTGGGGTAAGCTGTGCTGGGCTTGCAAGGGAACCTAGTTTCCAAATCACTGGCTCGTTCCTTTCCAGTATGGCCAAGGTTCACGGTTTGGAGTCAGATGTGCATTCAGACTCTGACTTTACTACTTACTGGCTGTGTGACCTTGGGCAAGTTACTTAATCTCTCTGTGCTTCAGTTTCATGATAGAAAAGATGGGGATAATTGTCTCCTGTGCAGGGTGGATATGAGAGTAATGGCAAGTGCTGCAAAGCCAACCCCCTGGTAAAGATAACTAATGTCTTCTTCCCCTACCCCAGTGGAGGAAAGTAAGATGAGCCCAGAGTCATTGTTAAGTGTCTGGTGAGGGCAGAGGAGTCAGAAAGGAGATCACACTGACCACACTCGAGCCTTTCAGCTCTGGACACCAGGGTGTGGGGTTGGCAGACAGGAGCATCCTCTGCAAGGAGGCTGCCCATCACTCATTCATGAGTTCAGGTCCCAGATATGCCAGTGGGGAAGTCCCTGTTGCCTACAAACTCCTTCAGAAATGTTAACTCTCATCCTATGCCCATGACATTTCCCATGACACAAAGATCCATGCTGCCCACTACCCTGGGCTCTGAATCAGCTGCAGTCCTAACACTAAGCAGAACCTTCAATCTTACAGATCCCTTCCCCTGAAGTCTTTGAAGACCTGATCAAGTTTTCCTTCCACACTAACGTATTTGAGGACAACACTGGCTACTTGAGGTTCGACATGTTTGGGGACTGTGAACTGCTCACCCAGGTCTCCGAGCTGCTGGTGGAACACATCTGGACGAAGATAGTGCACACAGATGCCATGATTGTCGACATGAGGTCAGTGGGCCAGTGGCCAGTGCTTTCTGACCAAGCCACAGCACTCGCTGGAAGACAATCAAGCCAGCGGACCACAGCAGAAAAGAAAAAGGACCCTGTGAGACAGCAGAGAACCTGAGAGGGACCAGGCTACCTGACTATCAGGGCTCTAGCCAGCTGGCCCCAGGGTTTCTGATTTAATTGCAGGGGGAGCACTAGCACTAGTAGTTTTTTCAAGCTCCTCTGATGATTCTACCATGCATTCCAGGGTGAGAATTCAGAGGGGTGGAGGTATGGGGGAATGGGATGCTAAAAACACTGATTTCTGGGCCCTATCCAGTCCTACTGAGTCAAAAGTTCCAGGGCAAAGCCCTGGAAATCTGTATACTTGACAAGCATTCCAGAGGATTCTGATGGCAAGTGGTGTTTGGGACAGCCAGGCCCTCTACCTATGGTTGTGATGCCATACAAAATCAACCCACAAGAACCCTTGTCATGAGAATCCTCTAGGCAGAGTCCTAGGGAGAACTGAAAAGTAACTACTACCCTTGCCAAAAGAATTCTTTGCATTATAAAATGATTGTTGGTAGGATGTCTTCAGCTAGCCAGCTCCCCTCTGTTTCTATAAAAGTGTGCCTCATCTGCAGTGAGTTTCTAGCATAGACCAGGAGAAAGAAGCACAACACCCTCAGGCAGTGGCCAGGCCCAGGTATCCTTTGACTCCTGGGACCATTGGTGGATGCGCCCTGGCACCCTCCATGGACACAGGGAGGGGCAGACTGCTCCCGTCAGAGGGAACACTGTCCACCCTCCCCTGCTGTCTGAGAGAGGCAGCTGGAATTGGCAGAGCAGAAGCCTCCAACCCAGTTCAGGTTCGCTGGCTGGCACCACTTACATGGTTCTTAGTCATCCACAGAGACCCTCCCTGGATGATGAAGTGTTAGTTTTGTGTGTGTTCACAACCTGAGCTTAAGGTTCCTGCGGTTCCTCTGATCATTAGTGTCCAGACGTTCCATTGAACATCTGAACGACCTTCATGCTAAGTCCCTCAACTATGCCACATTTCTTCCCAGCCTACCATGCACTTTGCCTAAAGACTCCCATCCCTGAGGTTTGTTTAGTGGTTCAGATGCTGGTGTCACAGGCCCTAAACCCAGCCAGGCCTTCCTAGACTATCAACCAGATCAGGCTCCTGATACTAGCCTCGGATGGGGAGACAAGAATGCAGCAAAGTCACACAGTGACAAGATCACACAGTGGGACAAATCCAAATGGCCTGAGATAGACACAGACTCCCTCATTCCCAATGTGGTTCTACAACCCTGAATAATGTGCTACACTAAGTGCTCCTTTAGGATACCTGAACTAGGACACCTGGTGGGTTTTGCAAAATTGTCACAGAATACAACTGGAAAACAGTGTTTCCCAAAATGCACTTCAAACGTAGGAAATATGGGGGTGCAGAGGTGCAGTCCATGGTCAATAAGTCGGGGGGATGTATCAAGTTTCTAACAGCAGGACTTGTTGGGGCCTTCAACATATTAGCATGTGATCAGAGGGAAAGGGTATGGTGTTTAGTATTTTCTAAATGTATTTGGTCACAAAGTTTCTTGTTCTCAAGAGACTAGCTCCCAGAAAACACTTACCCAAGGAATTCTAAAGAATTCAGAAGAGGGGCTGCAGACTGAGGCTATCTGAGGACAAAGATCCCAGCCTCCCAGAGAGGCACAGAGGGGCCAACTGTGCTTAGCCCCTCAATGCTCCCCTTCCCATCCCTCAGGTTCAACATCGGTGGCCCCACATCCTCCATCTCCGCCTTGTGCTCCTACTTCTTTGATGAAGGCCCTCCAATTCTGCTGGACAAGATCTACAACCGGCCCAACGACTCTGTCAGTGAACTTTGGACACACACCCAGCTGGCAGGTATGTGGAGAAGACTTTCCCTTCTTGTTCTCATTCTAAAGTCTTCTGGAAAATCAGGGAAAGGTGGCTTCAGTGTAGGTAAAAGTCATAAAGCCCCTATCCTACTCCATATACTAGATGCATGTGCTTTTGAATCCCTGCAAACCACATACCACCATGCACATTTGCTAAAGGAAAAACATGGGAGCCTGGGGGCCAGTTGGATCAAATATCTTATCCAGGGTCACTCAGCTAATAAGTGAAGGAGCCAAAATAAGAATGTTACGTTTGTCTAATACCAAATTGCCCTTATTTCACCACTACAACCATCAGCCTACAAAACAATTGCAGAACTAGAAAAATTTCTCTCTGCTATCACCAACCCCAAGGGGATGGCCAGTGCTCATCTTGCTGGAACTGTCATTAGCAGCTCCACACACTTGCTGAAGAAAGCACCTCATGCTGATAGGGCTTCCATTACCTGCCCTGAGCCCAGAGTAGCAGCCAGAGCAGAAACAGTCCCCGCACTTCATAGAACCATGACTCTCAAAGCCCTTCCTGGACCTTGTTCTATCTCCCCTGCCCAGTGCACAAACCAAGGAACCTGTGCTCCCATCCAGCAAATGGGGACTGGACCAGTGGGGTTGCTCCTGTGGCCAGAGAAACTGCCCACCACTTTTATTTCTATGTTTCCTCAATACTGTAGCTTAATGCCATAGCTTCCAGGACATACATTCAATGATATTGCAAAATGTAAATAAAAATCAGAGCCAGGTGAATTCCAAATTCAAATAGCTATTCAAACCAAGAATAAAAGACTCAGATCTGCCGATCATGAGGTCCTTAGGTCATGGGAACTGCAAAGTCCAATGCGGGAGCCGCCATGGAGCATTTGAAATGTGGCTCTTCTGAATAGAGGCGGACTGTATGTATAAAGTATATGCCAGATTTTCAAGACTTGTTATGGAAAAAAAAGTAATGATTTTATTTCATTACACTTTGAAATAAACATATTTTTAATATGTTGGCATAAATAAAACATGATTAAAATCAATTTCATCTGCTTCCTTTTCCTTACTTAATGTGGCTACTGTGAAACTTAAATGACATCTGTGACTGACACTCTGGCTCACGTTGCATTTCTGCTGGATGCCACTGCCCTGGAGGGTTGTCCTTGTTACATCACAGTTTTGACTCTTTTGAGGGTCTAAAGCTAAAAGGGTGTCGGGTGAGATTAGGCATAGAGAACACACCCCTTCCTTAGGAAAGTCAAGCCTTCCCCATCACTTAGCAATAAAAGAACCTGTGGGGCTGATTCTGAAGCATTTAAATGCTTGTGATTGGGCATATGTTTCTGTCCCTGTCTTAGAGATTCAGAAGCTAAGACTCAGGGAAATGGAGTGGCTGGCATGTGGACACAGGATGCAGAGCTAAATCCACCTCTTCACTGCAGGTCCAGATAGTGTAGAAAAGCAGGTGCTCAGGGGTCCTGACTTGACCCACATCCTGAAGAACCTTCTATCTTCTAGGTGAACGCTACGGCTCCAAGAAGAACGTGATCATTCTGACCAGCAGTGTGACGGCCGGCGCTGCAGAGGAGTTTACCTACATCATGAAGAGGCTGGGCCGGGCGTTGGTTATTGGGGAAGTGACCAGCGGGGGTTGCCAGCCACCACAGACCTACCACGTGGACGACACCCACCTCTACCTCACTATCCCCACAGCCCGCTCTGTAGGGGCTGCTGACGGCAGCTCCTGGGAAGGGGTTGGGGTGACACCCCACGTGGCTGTCCCTGCAGAAATGGCTCTCACCAGAGCCAAAGACATGCTCCAGTACAACCTGCCAAGGGTGAGGCGGAGCCCAGGTTTGCAGAGACCTCATGGGCAGAGCCTTGGAGCAGGCAGGACAACTGGGTCTCACACCAAGGGCACCGCTGCACGTGGTCCTGCCTGAGGTTTCCAGGGGCAGCAGAGGGGCCTACTGAGCTTTGGTTAGGCTAGCACTGGAGTTGCCCTTGGAGCTTATCTGCCCTACTCCTTACCATGGCACAAATTCTCTCTGTTTTGACCCCCCACTGACAGAGCCCATCCCCTTCAAATCAATCCCCTCATAGTCATTGTTGTAGGGACAGGAAGTCCAGATCTGTCCCCCAACCCATGCTCCCTAATCACCAACCCCTGGGCTTCCCACTATCATCTTGAGCTGTTCTGTCCAATAGAATCACGTGAGCCACAGATGCAAGGCACACGTGCCACTTAAATTTTCTATAAGCCACATTTTAAACAAGCATTAAGAAACAGATGAAATCATGTCAGTGTTATATTCTAATAGCTTAATTATTTAATCCACTAGATTCCCAATAGTATCATTTTAACACATACTCAGTATAAAAATTACTATGGGTAAGATACTTTTGTACCAAGTCTTTGAAAGCTGGTAGGCAGTTGACCCCAGTGAGCAGGCTGCAGCTGCCCTGGTCCAGCCCCAGACTAGACTAGCAGAGGCTCCCAAAGGTCAAGTTCTTCAGGGTACTGGGCACAACCCTGGCTTCCACAGCCCCCTCCCCAGACCCCAGGAGGCTGAAATATGGGAAACTGCTGAGTCATCACCAATACTTTGGGAATCTTTATGAGGATAACCTTTGAACTAACTCTGTCTAAACTCTGCCAGATTGAAGGCAAGAATTCACTCAATCTCCCTTTTCTACTGCTACGTTCAAATGAGATTAAGGACAATCATTGAATTTTAGTAGTAGCATGTAAAATGTAACCTCACCTTTCTCTTCATTAGACCTATTATTCTCCAGGCAAATGTGGGATTGCCCTACAGTGCTTTCATTCCAGGACCCTCCCTCCTCCCTCCCCTCCTCTTCTCTCTTCTTCTCTCTCTCTCTCTCTCTCTCTCATACATATATGGCTATTCGGTGATTACTTACATTTTAACAATGGTTCTTTCTAGATGGTGAAATTTTGGGTGATATTTTTACCTTTATCCTTATGCTTTTTCTTAAATCCTTATACTGAGCATGTATCATTATTTTCAAATGCAACAGTCATTATTCAAAAATATAAAATAAATTATACAATTGAGTCATTAACGATAAATTAGTGATCACTAAGGGTTGTTAAATCTATTTTTTTCATGGGTTTTCTTTTGCATCATTTGGAGTTCCCTGATCTGCACCTCTGGTACTTACCAATGCCTGATTTTGTTTAAGGCATAATGCTATGTGGCAAATGTGCATGGATCTTAAACAGAGAAGAGAGGTGGAACAACTTTATGCTGGGTGATGCACACAATCCTCTCTTCCCAGCTTCACACTGCATGGACGGCCATAATCAGCCTTTACACAGGAGCCAGCTGAGGCTCAGACACACTCAGACAAGGATGTGTCACCTGAGGTCATACATCCAGCATAGTGGACAGTTGCACCACTTTTGGATGATCAGAGAATCACTGTCCATATGAATCAGTAGGAAACAGTACGATGTTAGTCTGTCTGGGTGGCAAGACCAGCCCAGCCACTTCCCAGCTGTGTGATTCTGGGCAGTTTACTTCACCTCTCTGGGCCTCAGTTTCTTTGTCTGTTCAATGGGAAAGATAACACTACACTTGGAGTTGTGAAGACTAAACAAGTGCCCAGCCAATACTGGCTGTCACCAGTTCCTCACTACAGACCTGGATGTCCCCAGGAACTCACTTTCCCACCTTCCCTGGCAATGGGGCATGGACATGTGGTCCTGTCCTGCTCTAACCGAGACTGCTGTGCAAGATGTTTCGTCTGGAGCAAGTGACTGGGAAGCCTGGACAACAGTTATCTGCCAGAAGCCCACTGTGCAGGGACAGCATGGCCATGCTCTGAACTTAGTAGGAACACAAGCAGCATCCTCAAGAGATGCTTCCTAAGTGTGACTTTGGCTGTGGACCTATTGGAGTAGCCCATTGTCCTGCCCACTGTCTAACCACCCAAAACTGGGTACAGCCCAAGCTCCTTCAAGAAATCCTTATCTGCTTCTAGCAGCCAAAGACTTTGTTTTTCTACAGTCTGGTACAGCTGGTTAAGTGATAGGTGGGATCTGAACCCACATCTGTCTGGCTCCTAAGGTCCTCTGTTTCTGTTACATTCTGAAGAGGCTCTGGGTCTGTTCCGGATAGGAGGACTGAGGTAGAAGTCAAAGTCCTCTGCATAGCAAAGCAAAGGGTCAGTCTTCCTGCAGGCAAGCTTTCTTGCACGGTTACCTGCTTGCAAACATAAGACTGGAGGGAAAAAAGAAAAGGAAAAGAAAATCCCACCTGACCTCTCTTCTGGTGCCAGACTCAAATGGCCAACAGCTGCCTCGTAGCCTCTGCTAAGACAGGCCTGGGCCCCTTAAACTCTCTGTGCCCTGGTCTGAGTTCATCACTTCCACCCTGCCCAACCCGGCCTGGCATCAGCCTCCTCCTGCCCCCACCTCACCATCTTGCACACAGTCACACCTCCGTCCAGTTCCAGACTCACCCCCTTCTGTCTCCCATGCCCCTCACCCTGTGTCCAACGATCATCGGGACCCAAGATGAGTTAATATCTAAGTTAATGCCACGCTTCGCTGGGTCCAGCCTGCTATCCCTCCCCCTTGTCTTGGTGTCCAAGCTTTGTGCCTAAATCCTCACCACAGCCTGCTCTCAATTTCTGTGCCCTGACCCTCAGTAGGACTCATCTTCTTCACTGGAAGGCCATTGACATGTGATGCAGACACTTCCAGAAGGCCATATTTATCTTTTCTTCTTGCAGACATGGTGGAGAGGTAAGTCATCCAGGACCAAGTAGGGCAGGCTGGGGCCAGTTCTTTTGACCTGGCATACAGGGGTACTGGAGTGTCCTCTGGAGTCCAGCTTGGCCCTGTTGTGGGACAGATGGATTACAAAGGCCCTGGAGGGGACTCTTCTCTATCCCACTTGCCCTCCTTTTCCTGCATGCTTTTGTCTGCCCCACACAAACCAACACTCAGTGGGCAGTCACAGCTACACGTCAAGGAGGACCCTGGCTACCAGACAGTTGTGGCGCAAGGAGCGGATATTACTCAGAAAGAAAATTCACACAGCCTGGATCACACTCCTGGGCCAGAAAACCTGCCTGACAGCACTGATCTCCCACCTCCTGGTTCCTATGGGATTTAGCTACCCCCTGGCCTAAGGACTTCCTCTCTGCTTTGCTGACTAGGGCAGCTGACACTGAAAATAGCCTCCTAATCCAAGCAGCTTAGAATAGCAAGGAGATCAGATGACAGGGACTTCCTGCCTCCTGTGCCAGGAAAACACAAAATGGAAAGGGAAGAAAACATACAATTTAAATAATTCCTCCCCTCCTCCCTGCAGGAACCACTTCCCCAGCCCCTATTCAAAATTGGTTTCTGAAAATTCTTCTCTCCAGAGAAGTGTCACAACCCAAAAACACACTGGACAATGACTTATTTGTTTTTAAATAAAGTTTTACTCTATGAAATTATTATCTTATTATGCCATCTTTAGATTTACATGTCTTCTTAAAAACAAACAAAATTATTCGAATAAGAGTGTGTAAAACCCTCTCTGAAGAGGACCGCAGTGAAGGCCTGATGCCTCCAGGTGGCGCCATCGCTTGCCAAGAAGCCTTGGGGCTACTCTTGCCGAAGTTCACCCTCAGTAAGGGTTCTCTCTGTGTGTTCACAGAAATAGGGTTATATGAGTGAAGTTAGAAAGGTCAGACCCAGGCCAACCTGTTTAAAGGCTCTGAACATAGCAGAGTTAGGGGGCCACCAGCTGGTGGTGCACTGCACTCACCTCCATCACGACCACCACTGAACATGCTTCGTTAAATTCACGCCATTTGGGTCATCCATCAGTGTTTTTAAAACAATTGTCTGTTGACAACTAATTTCACATAAAGATCTGATTTCTGGCATCTCTTGAGGACTGTGTTCATCCTGGCTCTGAAAAGCCTTCAACCAGAACATGTGAGCTCCAGGTGCCAAGACCTCATTACCAACAGCACTCCCAGGCCCAGACAGCTTCATTCACTTCCATTAACATACATATAGTCTTTTGTGTTTAGGATCCCTGACCTAAAGATTCAGGAACTGGCAAGAAGTTGAAATCTAGGATCCCAGCCTTGTGATGGTTTTACTACTCTCCCAGATAAAAACAGAAAGAAAAATTGACCTTGGTTAAAATTGAGAACTAAAAGGATTTGAATTCAGACAGTCTTATTTTAACCTCATTAGCATATTTTGAGGACCTTTATAAAGACTACTGCTGGGAAACAATTTATTAAGATATAATTTGTTATGTTTGTAGCTGCTATAGGTATGTTCCATCCTCCATTTCAAGAGGTTAACCAAGGCTTTCTGTTCATCAACTCAGTGGCTTCTGTATTACATGCCTAGCAACAGCTTTTCCAGACAGTCACAGGTCCTAGATTCTTGGAGGGTGAAGGAGAGAAGACAGACCACCTTGGAGCAGTATAGGGACATCTCAGGATGCCAAGAAACAGGGTATATTCTTGAGGTGGGGGGGTTGGGGAGCTTGTTATGAACTTGAGAGACAAGGTAGGGATTCAGTAATGACAGGGTGTATATCCTACCAGAACCACAGGATGGGGATGCCAAGCCAATTCAATTAGATATAAATAATTAAGGAATGCAGCAATGCTTACCCTGGCACTGCAGAGTAAAATTTATACCTGTTGATGTAATGTATTGTGGCAACATCAAGCCAGCCCTTAACTGGTATATGGAAGATGGGAGCCTAGTTCGTTGGGGCTGCTATAACAAAATATCAAAAACTGGGTCGTTTATGAAAAAGAAATGTATTGCTCATAGTTCTGGAGGTAGGGACATCCCAGATCAAGGTGCCAAGCAGATTCAACATCTGTTGAGGGAACACTTGGCTTAGAAAGGGCACCTCTAGCTGTGTTCTCCAGTGGTGGAAGTGGGGAGCTGGATCTCTGTCGTCTCCTTATCAGGGCACTAATCCCAATCTCCCAAGGACCCCACTCCTGAATACCATCAACTTGGGGATGATGAGGATTTTTACATATGGATTTTGAGGGACATAAACATTTAGACAACAGCAATGGCAGAGAGAGCTTGGGAAAAGCCATGATTTAAAGAGTCTACTCTTCAGTAGACAGAGGAGAGGTGAAAGGAAGAAGGGATAAGAGAGGATTTGACTCCCAGAGAGTCCGGGAACCCAGCCTGGTGATAATGAGGGGCCACCACATGAATAAACTGCAAGTTATTGTCTTTCATACATCATCTTTGAGTTTGTCAAGCTGTGAGCACCTTGTATCTGCATCAATTTTTATCAAAAGTAACTCCATCTTAAAAAGAAGAGTTGGAAGAAAATGTTTTGCTGTGTTTCTTCATAATTTCAAATTTCCTCAAATGCCTATTCTGCTTGTGAATGGTATATTTTTATGGTTAGTAAAAATCACCTTCGAGGCCTTTCTATTCATGGGCAATGTAAGCTATCACTTGGCCTAGCATGGACGGGGCAAGGGAGACTCATGGGTCTAGACACCTCAGTGGTTCTAACCTTGACTTCACTACCACTTGCAATGCTGAGGACATCAGCTTATGTCTGTGAACCTCAGAGTCTGCTACTATAAAGTGAGAGGGTGGACTGGAAATCTAAAGTCCCTTTCAATTCTAAGTGTCTATCGTGTCTTGATACAATATATTTTTACCTTTCAAATAGATTTCACAGAAATTATGGACCATTAGGCCAGAGAAGAACAACTGTGCACCTCATCTGACAGATGCCAAAGCCCTCCCATGAAGCTGATTCAAGATCTGACAGGAGTTAAGCCAGAACCAGGCATTTCATTCATTCATTCAACAAATGTGTGTTGAATACCTACTATACACCTATATCATTTTAGATACTAGGGACATTACAACAAATAAAATAGTAAAAATCTCTCACAGAGCTTACAGTCTAGTAAGAAGACAGAGTAAACAAGATAAATCAGTAAAAGACTTAGTATGCAAGATAGTGAAAGTGCTAAAAAGAAGGGTAATAGAAAAGTGTGTGTATGAGTAGCAAGGTGGGAGTTGAAACTTGAGACAGGGAACCTATACCCGCCCCTAAGTTCCAGTTCTTGAACCATCCACAATGCCACATGACCAGGTTGGGCTGAGCAGACACATAGCAGGCTGGAATGGACATGAGCTCAGAATTGAGGGTCCTGGAGTCTTATTCTTGCACGGATGCTCCCGAGCCCATGATCTTAGAAAAGTCCTTAACTTCTTTGAGCTTAGTTTCATCTTCAGTAAAACAAGAATGAAATATCTATTTCCTGGGCTGTTGTGGGAATTGAATGATGGATCGCATGTCAACTGCATAGTATGAAGAGTCATGATAAGCCCCTAAGTTGCCCTTTTCTGCCCCACCTGGGACAGCAGGTTGGAGAATGCTCCTTGTAGCTTCAGCTTCCTTCTGTCCACAGCCTCTCTGTGGCAAATTCTACCCACACACAGCATCTAAAGGGGACGGCAGGGCTGAGCTTTTCTTGTCTCACTTCAGTGAGTAAGCAGCTTCCCAGCATCCCTACTGGAATGGAGGTGTTTTGGTGGCATCTGCAGGAAACACCCTGCCTCCTTCCATATGTGAAGGACAATGGGCACAGTGAGTCTAACCTCCTTCTGATGTCAAAGGATGTCCCCCAAAGTGCCTAACTGAGCCAAGCCCTCAGTATCCACCATCCAAACCCTTCTCCCTTGAGCCCCTCCTACTCCTCCATCTGAGGTCCACCCCTCCCACTCCGTCCAGCTCCTCAGGGTCTTGTAACACCCTAGGACATTTTCAGGCTCTGGACTGACCTTTCTCGCCAACCACTGCCCTCTTTGTCTGAATCACCAGCGCCTCCTTGTCTTTGGAGCTCAGTCCAAAGTGCACATGGATGGCCAGGGATGCTGGATACATGAAAATGGACCCACTGGCTCAATTCCTTGCTGAGCCAGGGAGACAGGGTATGTGAAGGCAGCTGGGCATGTGTGGAGCCTTCTGGCTGGAGAGTGGCCCTTGGGAGACCTTCCAGGACCAAAGGAAGATCATTCATGTTTTCAGACCCAGTTACTCACACAGAAATTAATTCCTCAATATTTATTATGCAGCAACAACATACTGTGCTCTGTTCTGGGCACTGGTGATACACAAACAAATTAGGCAAGTCTCTACTTCCAAGGAGCAGACAGCCTATGGACGGAGTGAACAAGACAACAGAGAGCTGGTTTCAGACAGTGAAATGTGCTGTGAAGAGAGTGACAGGGTGATGTGGTTGAGAGATTGAGGCTGCAGGGCTTCTTGCAAGGGGGGCCTGGGCAGGCCTCTCTAAGGAGCTGATATGTGAGAAGTGGACATGTGGGACCACAGCAGGAGTGGCACCATGAGGAGTGGGGACGGCAATTGCCAAAGCCCAGACTTGAGAAAAGTCATGGGAGTTGTGGTAAGAACACAGGAGCTGGGACAGAATGGCAGCAAGATGGCAGAGCCCCCTGTCCACTGCCACTGTGGGCCTCCTAAGTGCAAACTCAGTCCACATGGGTAGCAGGTGGAGCCTTAGGGGAGTGTCAGGGACACTAGAAGCCCTGTAGTCTCATTCACGGTTACAATGCATGATAGAAATGGGAAGTAAATTGTACTTGCCTCCCAAGGTTCTAGTATACACAGCTTGATAACTGTGTTCTTCCAGTGCCTGGCACATGGAGCGAGTGGAATGAGTGTTTGCAATTATTAGCAGTAGGCAGGGCCTGGTCCTTAAGGATCCTCGAGGGCTTGCAGGGTTAGGGCTGTAAGGATAAGGGGCAGTCATATGGGCCGGAGGCATCATCTGACTTAGACTTTCAGAAGATGGTCTGGTTACATGTGAAAAATGTGTGGGTGAGTGGGTGGGAGGCAGGAATAGAGGCAGGGAGGGAGAGAGAGAGGGAGAGAGAAGACCATCAGAGCAGCCAGGTAGGAGTGCTGCTGCCTGGACAGGGTGGGCGCAGAGGAGAGCGAGAGAAGAGGTGTCATCGGGGTAGGGAGACTGGCTGGTTGGCAGCTGGCTGAGACCCCTCACCTACTCACTCTGGTCCCTTCCCACCACCCTCTGGTGGCCTTTGGTGGCACACCAAAGAAACAAATCCTGAAAGTGAGGTGACAACCAGTGGAACGAACTGCACTGGCTGAGAAACTCCCCACAAAGAGCATTTGTGCAGACCAGTCTGTGTTACATCAGAGGGTACAGTCTGCGCTTTGTGTTATTAGGTACAAGGGCCAATGTGGGGACACACAATAGCTACTGACAGAAATGCAATAGATAATAAATGGTACCCAGAATTGTCCCAGTCCACAATACTTGAAGTCTAAAGTTTTTGCACATGCCCTGTTCTTGAAAGCTAAGGGGAGTGTGTGTAGGGGAGGGTATGGTCTATTTCCCCTTTTCCCATATTCACAATGTAAAAAACCACAGACCAAGTGGTGGGTTGAATTACCAGTCCTAACTCCTTACTCTCCTGTCAAGGGAATGTATGCCCGCTCCCTTGTCACAGCTTCACCAAGGGTAGCCTACGTGTTTTCAGTGACCAATTTTGGGCCTGGCCCTGTGACTTGCATGGACCATGAGGATGTTAACAATGTGATGACCCAAACAGAGACTTCAGGTGTACTTGTACATTTGGGCTCACCCTCTTGCGTTCTTTGCATGGCTGTGAGAGAAAATGATCTGGGTAGCCCATCAGGCCCAGAAGAAAAAACATGACTTGAGCCAAACCTGTGTCCTGGAGCCAATCCCAGCCAAGACCAGCTCAACTCCAGCCAGCCCACAGACTTGAGACTGAGATATAGATGCTTATACTTGTCTGCCACTGAGATCTAGTCAATAATGATATCTAACTAGAGCACAGTCCTCACAAACCTCATTTACTCAGTGCTCACAGGCTTCCAGGCAATATGCTGGCACCTTCCACACACCCTCCATGTGATTTAGACGCCAATCCTAAGACATAGGTGTTATCCTCTCCTTTTACAGATAAGAAAACTGGGGCTCAGCGGGTTAAAGCACCTAGTCCAAGGTCACAACTAGTATGTAAAAGAGCCCAGACTCAAATCCAGGTTTGCCTGCCTCCAAAATCCATGCTGTTTGCTGGGAGCAGGCTCCGATTCTCTGTGCGAGATAGGTCTCACACCCTGGATTAGCAAAGCCCATCCTTCTATTTCAGGATTTCATTTCCTTCAAAACACATCACACAGGTTTAACTGTCTTTTTCAAATTATGACAGAGTTATTCACGGATGCCAAAGGAGACAACCCTGCACACTACTGTGACAGCCTCTGCAAAGCACAGCCCAGGGAGCCCCCGTCCCACTGCCAAATGCTAGGTGTTGCACCCAGTAGCCACTCCACGGCCACATGCTAACTGTGAGAAGTCATGTGTCGGGAGAGATGGTGGCGTTCCCGGAAGTACTCCTGGCAAACAGGGCAGATGAGGGCTTCTTCTCTCCGCTTCTTAGAATGTGGGTCAGGTCCTGGACGCTCCTTTTTGTGGTGGGACCGCATATGGAAGACCAGGTCAGATGTCAGGCGGAAGGAGAGGTTGCACTTTGCACACCAGTTCTGGGTGGACAAGCCCAGGGAGGTGAGGGTGGGTGGCAGAAGAGCCCACGAGGTGGTGGAGGATGATGAGGGTGTCGGTGCCTGGGCATGCTCAAGCCACAGTGTGGAGGCACCCAGGAAAGCACTGCAGAGTGGAGCATTCTGTGGCAATGTGGGCAAGTTCCAGAAATCACTGACTAAAAGCTTGGGAGTTGAAAGTCGACCCCAACAAGGGACATCTATTGTGCTGATGAGTCCCGACAGCTCCCCCAGGGCATCTGTAGATTCACTACCAGGAAAGACAGGGGTTGGCTCAGGCCTCTCAGCTGGTCGCTTAGTTGGTTTGCTGAAGGCACTTCTCTGCTCACCTCGGTCTCTGCTGGGCCACACAGAGAAGACTGTGCTGCAGGCTGGGTCCCTGGGGATGTCTTGTGTCAGCTGTGGGGGGCCAGGCTGGCCTGCGGGGTCATCATGCTCCCTGTCCTGGACCTGACTGCCCCCCAGCCTCTCTTTGAGCCTCGGCAGCTCTGTGAAGGCGCTCTGCCTCTGTTCCCCACGCACCTTCCGGGCCAGTGGCTTGCCCAGTCTGGGCTTGCCCAGGGCCACCGACAGTGCTAGCTCAGTGCAGGCTGCATCCCAGACCCCGCTGCCCTCTGTAGTCTCAAAGCCTAGGCTGTTTGTTTTCTCCAGCAGCACTGGCTTGCGGCCCCGACCCTGCTCAGGTTCACTAAGCCTACATCTATTTTCAGTCGATGGACTCAGCGGGGCCCCCTTCCCAGCTGCCATGTTGATCAGCAGGGCCTGGGCCATTGGCTGAGCAGGGTGGACACTCCAACAGCCATCAGTCTTTGGGGCTCAGGGTTTCTGAAGAGCTTGGCCTGGGGAGGAGTCATGAGATAGGAGAGCTCTCTGTGAGGCTGGGCTGGACACACTCAGTCGACCACAGGACGCTGCAGAGAGAAGAAGTGACAGGTAGTTCCTCACTGGGGTAAGGGCGCTATGAGGCTGGCATCAGACAAGCCACATGTCAGATGAGCCATTGCTATCTGTGAAATGGGAATACTGGCCACACTGCTTCCAAGGTAGGAGGAGCTTTGATGGCACCGGACTCCAGAACCCACCTCCCAGTGGCTGGGGTGGGGAAATAGCCTCTGTTGAAAACAATTAGCAACAGCCCCAGAGCAAGAGGCCATATGACAGAGACAAACACTGGATGCCCCTGGCAGAAATGGCTCCTGGGATTTAACTGGGGTCAAAGCGCTGTTTGCCAGGCTGAGCCCCGGAGAGATAGTAGTAAATTATGATGCATATTCAAGCAGAAGCCAGCCGGAGATGTGATGAGGATAAAGGGACTGCCAGGCTGGGAGGCAGGTCCAGCAGCCTGAGGAGCAAATTTAGAGCAGGGACAGAGAGGGCTGCATGAGGAGCAAAGACTATGAAGTCCACAGTCCTCCAACACTGGGCTCCTTGATGCCGTGGCCTCCCCTGTGCTTGCGACACTCAGCCAGGGCCAGAGGGAGACAAGTATGAAGTACTTGTATGGTGTGTGGCTTCCTCATGATGGCATCCACTTGTTCATAGATGACCCAGAACTTCTGGTGCCATCTATGCTCCTCTTGACCAGCTAAGGGGCCCCAGAGCAGGCCGTCTTCCCTTCCTTCCCCACCGTTCCCCTGCCATGCCCCAACCCATCTCCAGTAACATGTGACAAGGTCTTTGCTGAAAGTTTAGGGTTCTGCTCTCTGAGGATGGGGAAAATGGACCCAGAGTGAAGCACAAGTCAAGAAGAAAATAAAGAGAATAAGAAAACGAAGTTCGTGCATAAAGATTCCTAGCTCTAGACAGTCTTCCACCTCCATCATTGCCCCTAGATTCCTCTAGGGCTCTCTAGTCAGGAAAATTCCAGAAAATGACCCCAGTGAGCTGGCCTGAACTGATGGGTGGACACTGCCCTGGCAACCACCATCTGGGGGTTGGACCTCACATGTGTCCAGGGCTCTTGGAGGAAGGGAGGCCAGGCAGAGGCTGCTTCCACCCCTCTAAAGTCAGGTAGTGGTTGCCCAGTATTGGTGTGGATATGAGGTGGTAGAAAGAAGCCACACCTACAGCAAACTGAGCTCCACAGCTCACTCTGCACCTGGGCATGCCATAGGGTCACAAACCCATGCCATACCAGACACTCCCAGTCCCAGCAAATGGGCAGAACCCAGCCACCCTCACAGATTCTCAGAAAGAAAGCCTCTACACATAGCAAATAAGATATTAGATCCACACATGTGGCAAAAGTTAGACACAGTGAGCTGTGCTGGTTTTTCCCTCTCTCTCCTTCCTTGGCAACTTTCTTAAAAGAAAAAACCAAAATAACAATTACAACAACAAAATCTTCCCTTGTATCTAAGTTCGGAGAGGACATAAATTGTATTTGCTTTCCCCTAATGACTATTGGTTCTACTTTCAAATTTTGGACTTTTTATAGTGAACAGGAAAACCAAGAAGTAAAATAAAACAGAAAGGTACAAGACATGGAATAGGAAAGATGGGGTGTGAAACTCATCTCCAGGCATTTATGAGGGGACTTCAAGTATGTGATATGACTTCTCTGAATACTTAACCACTGTGTAAATGGCCTGTGCTAGGATATTAATTAGTTTAAGTAGGATAATAACATCTACAAGGAGTCTCCAACTATGGGAATGCCTCTAGGAATGTGCATTTCTTTCTCTGCAGTCAAAGGACAGGAACAAAATAAAAGTCCTGGAGATAATAAACAAAAAGAATCAATCACTGCAATCCAGCCCCACTGCTGAGACACCTTTTCAAAACCAGGCTTGAGAGAGGCAAAGTTGTCTGTAGTCGGGGCACCAACTTGTTGGATTCCCCAAGATCCAGAATGTGACAATTTCTTAATAGAATAAAAACAGTCAGTGTGGTGAGGAAGGGACGTCCCACCAGGCTTTGCTGAGGCCTTACCTTAAGGGAACAGCAAACATTCAGCTCTTAGGTGTTCTACCTACCAACATTGTTTTATTTCTACACCTTCACCAAATCAAACTTAAATTTGAGAGAGAGAAAAATAACAAAAAAAGCTTGTTGAAAATGTTGCTGGTTAAGATTGAGAAGCAGCACAGGACAGGCAAAAGTTAAGACATTCGGGTTTGAGTCTCAGCTTTGGCACTTCTAGATGGTCTTGGGCAGGTCCCCATCCTTTGGCAGACCTCACTCAGCTGCAGTGAGAGGAGGCTGGACCAGATGGTCTCTATGGTTCAAAATACCATAGGGCTCCAGGCAATATCTTTATGTGGCATCATGATGCATTTCCTGTGATCACTCAGGATTTGGGGAGATTTTCTTGACCAACTAATAGGCAAAAAATAGAATAAGTGGAAGATACATAGCAGATCCAATGATCAACCATGCTGCAGTCTGATACTTTTGTCATGTATACCCAGGTTGTTCTTCTAATGTCCATGAATCTTCAAACACAAACAAGACTCCCGACTCCTACAAGAGATGGATTAATAGGCCCCATGGTCAGATTTCTGATGACCTTGACACTCCGTAGTGATTTCTCAAATCTCTTAGGTTCTAGCAATCAGGGTTTCCTAGCTGCAGACAATGGCATTTACTCCAAGTAGTTGGAAGGGAGGAAGGGAGGGAGGGAGGGAGGAAGGAAGGGAAGAAAAAAGTGATTAATTGATTGCTTAATTGAGATAAGGTCTTGCTATATTACCCAGGCTGGAGTACACTGGCATATTCATGGCTCACTACAGCCTGGAAATCCTGGGTTCAAGTGATCTTCCTGCCTCAGCATCTTGAGTAGCTAAGACAACTGATTTTTTTTTTTTTTGTAAAGACAAGGTCTCATTATGTTGCCAAGGTTCAGAAAGGAATTTATTAAAGGGTGTTATAAGGTTGAGGGACAGGAATCCAGCAAGACAGAGAGGCCCTCTGTAAATGATAAGTTTCTATTCACACTAAGCCAGGTCAGACCCCTTTGAAATCCAGGTCAGACCCCATTATGAAATCAGCTCTGCTGAGTGAGGTAGGGGAAGCTCGTGAGGGGAGAGGGTCAGAGTTAGAGCTGGGAATTTGCCCAGCTCCTTTCTCTGAAGAGCTCTGGACTCTGACATCCATGAACACTCATGACTTCCAGCTACCCTGTGAAGTCAGAGAAGCCCTTCGCCCTGGCCCCCTTCTCCCCTGCCCTGATAACAGTACAGATGGAGGGGCTGAGGCAGTCATGCTATGCACAACCTTCCAAACAGTCAGATCCAGCAGAACAAGTCCAAGGGCTCATATTGATTCTCAGTGCAGGCACCCACAGAGGTTCCCCGACAATTCTGGGGCCATGGCCAAACTCATGCTCAGAGATGATTTTTTTGCCTCCAATGGAAATTATAACCCAGTGCTGTTTCCTTCCAGAGCTTGTGACCCTACTGTTGTGTGCAGACTTCCAGATGATCTTCAAGAGGCTTCCAAAGCAAAAGGAATGGGTTGCATCTGCAGACTGCTCTCACCAAAGCACCCTCAGGGATACTGCACTAAGGCATAGGGACCACCTTTAGCAGCCTGGTGAGGCTCAGTATCACCCCCCCCACAAACCCCACCCCAGCTACACCCTCAGTCCCTGAAGAGAGAAACTGTGTCTGTGTCTGATCTATCTTTGTAGCCTTCAAAGGGCATCTCAGGAAGTGTGTGAACTGAAGGGCCCCTTTTTGCCCTAGGTTCTTAAACCAGTCGATGGGCAGAAAGGATTATGTGATCTCTATGACAACAGAACAGACGTCAAATGGTTTGGTTTAGTTTGATAGTACCCAGCATCCTCCCGAACCAGACCTAATTTCAGGTTGGGAAACTACCTATGATTTTCTGCTACTGGGACTCAGCCACTCAGTCCCTATAATTTTTGAGCTGAGTTCTCCAGTCCTCCACATACACACCTCACTCTAACCCTACCATAATGTTCTGATTAATTTCTGCTCAGCTAAATTGTCTGGAGTTCATCTTTGTGACTTTCATCCAAAGAATCCTGATTGCTATGAACACAACAACTCACCTTAACTCAGAGCACTATGCCTCCAGGACTCTATCTGAGAGCAATGACAACCTCCCCCACACACACATGCCACACATGCGCACACATGCATGGGCTGCCACTCAGAGGCACCAGCTCAGCCCTGGCCCTGCACCTGTCAGCATTCACGCAGCAGCTGCCACATTAATAGAGCACACAGGGCTTTCACCTGCCAGCTCTGACTTGGTTGACAATTCCATCATGTTAAGGGCAGTTTTCTTTCCTTGCCGGTTGGCACGTTCATTTTTCTCCAGACCCTCAGTGCCAGGTTGCTTCAGGTACCTGGGGGCGGGCAGGATCCCTGCAGGCACAAGTGTACAGATGGACAAAAGAAGGAGCAATGAACACCCAGGCTTGACAGGTGGGTCTGAGACTGTGACTGCTCCCCTGACCCCATACTGAGGGTCAGCCACCTCTCCACCTGGCACCACTCTGGAGAAAGTGCGGGTCTCCCCGTCTCCATATTTGCCAGAAATGCTCATGCTTGGCTCTCTACACACATGCATCCACTTGATTTGCCCCTTCTCTGGCTTGTCTGCTTGTACCAAGTTGCTGGGTGTCCTTAGGTAGATCAACCTCAGCTTTATCCCAGAGGTGCCCACAGTGTGGGCAATGACCATATGTGAGGGTGGCACCCAAGAGGAGATGGCTCCAGTCCTTCTGGGAGGCCTTCATCCCTGCATTGCCCTCATCAGCCCCAGCCTCAAGTTGTGGAAACTAGGAAACCGATCCTCAA